TAATTAATTAATATGGTCCACTATGGACCATGGACCCTTATCCCTAAAATAAGCCCTTAGTCCTATAAGGAATAGAATTAGTAAACCCATACCATTCAGACCCTAATTAGGAGTCTTAAATATATAAATAGGGATATAGGAGGCACCTAGATCTTTCACCACCATAATCTCTCACCACACAAGAAGTTCCAAGAATCCCCTTAGGAGAAATCAAGAAAGAAGAAGGCTTAAAGAAAGACCCTTCATAGCCAAGGAATTAATTAAGGCTAAGAGGTAACCCATGTCTCAACAAAACCTATTTTCATAGCTATGATTCCCCTCTTAGGATTTCCCCATATTATTGTGTATTGATGATTTGTGATATTATTATTGATGATTGATGGGATGATTCCATGGGTGATCTTGATGATGAAAGGTTCTTGATAATTATGGTGTTCTTGATGATTATATGACGTTCTTGATGATTATATGATGTTCTTGATAATTGTAGGATGTTCTTGATGTTTATGTGATATTCTTACCGAATTTTGATATTAGAAGATGAATTGTGTCCTTGTTGATTTAAAAATGATTAGAACCCTGGGTTGTATCGTATGGAATTCTTCTTGGTATATTGGGTGGGAATTCGCATGACTGGGTGTTTATTATGTTTAGAAAAGCATGATAGGTTATGTGCCGTTTGTTTCCTGATGTTGATCCGTTAATTGTCTACGTATGTTATCAATTGCGTTTGAAAGTGTCTAAGCATGGTTTCGGGTTCCACAAAGGTTCCCGGGGCGTTTTTGATGAAAAAGAGTCAGTGGGGGGTAGGTGGGGGTAGGGGAACCGCCACTTACCCGCGGCCAAGTTGGGCAACGCCGGCAGCGGGCAGCCGGCGGGCGGGCAGCTGCCCGCCGGGCACCCGCTGCCCGGAACAGTAGAGCACCGGCGGGTGACCCCCACCCACCGGCTACCCGCTGGTTTGTACCCTACTTCAGGATCCCGGCTTCCCCGTTTGATGTTCCCCCGACCCCCGTGGTGTCCCAATGGACTCCGTCTATCGTGCCTATGTCTAGTCTGATTTTTGGGTACCGTTCGTAGGTCGTATGAGTCTTATATATTGCATGCTAGTTGGATTGGTATCCCGTTGACCTAGGTGAAAGAAGTATGAACCCCTTAGGAATATTCTTAGTATGTGAAGGATCACGCATAGGTTTTGTTATACGTTTTCTCCCCCTTCCCAATGTGTTAATGTGGGTTGCATGTGCTTGCTATGTGTTATGTGTGCATGTTACCCCGATTTGGTTGAGATCAATCGGGCTATACGGGCAGTCGGGTGGGCTGAGAACCATACCGGCTATTAACCAGGCTGGTAGAGACCGGTCAGGTATATAAATATTATATAGGACTGAGGTCCACTATACGGGCAGTTGAATGGGTTGAGAACCATCCCAACTGTTAACCAGGCTGGTAGAGACCGGTCAGGTATATAAATATTATATAGGACAAAGGTCCACTGTACGGGCAGTTGAATGGGTTGAGAACCATCCCAACTGTTAACCAGGCTGGTAAAGACCGGTCAGGTATATAAATATTATATAGAGCTGCGGCTCATCGGTCGGTTGCGATCGACCCCTTCGTAGTGTGAGACGGGGCAGGGTGCTGCGGGGCCGTGTCAGAGCTATATGTGCTGACCCTCATGTATGGGCATGCGATTGGTCCTGTGGCGCCAACAAAGTGTGCTATATGATGAGATAAGAAGGGTTGATGTTGTGACTGTGATAGGGCTCTTGCTAGTAATGCTTAATTGTGATTATTGGTTGTGCTTATCTATGACTGTTTCCTGTGTGAGAATTGTATATGCTTGGTTATGACTATAGACGGTGTGTACCCCTATTTGTCGAGTCGGTCCCTTGATTTCAAAGCTAGAGTCTCGTAGGATATATCTTCATGCTTCGAAATGACTTTTCGTATATCTATGTATATATGTATATGTATTGTATTTCAAAGCGTTGGAGTGGGTTACCAGCATCTCTCGCTGAACAGATATATTTGGCTTTCAGTCACAGAAGAATAAGTCACTGGAGCGCTAGATCTTGGAGCGTAGAAGTAGATAGTTCCCCTTTTCGGCCTGCGTGCCATGTTATGCATTTACTTGATTAAGGATATTAGTTAGTTGGCCTGTGCACCTGAGTTCTCTAGCTCAGGTGTGGCATAGCACCCCGTACTCTTTATGTTACGTTTTTGGGAATTAATGAGACTTCAGCTTTATTTTATAAGTTTTAAAAGTCTTGAAAATCTGGGGTGTTACATCTTACGTGGTGTCGTTATTTGCGTTTAAAAGTGTCTAAGCATGGTTTCGGGTTCCACGAAGCTCCCCGAGACGAAATTATGGTAAAGGAGTCAGTGGGGGGTAGGTAGGGGTAGGGGAACCCGCCACCTACCCACTGCCCAGAAATCACCGCCGGGCAGCGGGTAGCCGCCGGGCAGTCGCCTGCCTGTCGGCAACCCGTTGCCGGAACAGTGAATTCTGGCGGGCAGCCGGCGGGTGACCCCCACCCACCGGCTACCCGCTGGTCCATACCCCACCCCGGGTCCCCGGCTTCCGCGTTTGATGTTCCCCGTTCCCCATGGTGTCCCAACGGACTCCGTTTGTCGTGCCTGAGTCTAGTTTGGAATTTCGGGTACCATTCGTAGGTTAAACGAGTCTTAGGAATTGCATGCTAGTTGAATTGGTAACCCGTGGACCTAGGTGGAAGTTATATGAGCCCTTAGGAATTATTCTTAGTATGTGAATGATCACATGTAAGCTTAATTATATGTCTCCCCCTTCCCTATGTGTTATTATGTGCTATTGTGTGTGACGTGATGCATGACCCCAACTTGGTTAAGATCAATTGGGCTATACGGGCAGTTGAATGGGCTGAGAACCATCCCAACTGTTAACCAGGCCGGTTAAGATCGGTCAGGTATATAAATATTATATAGGACTGAGGTCCACTATACGGGCAGTTGAATGGGCTGAGAACCATCCCAACTGTTAACCAGGCTGGTAGAGACCGGTCAGGTATATAAAGATTATGTATAGGACTGAAGGTCCACATGGGCCTCGGTGATATGACCCACCGACCTGGACGCGCCAGGCGGTGTGTAGGGCCAACAAGCCGAGGAAGGCTGTAGTCCACCGACCTGAGTAATCAGGCGGTGTGTAGGGCTACGGTTGGCTGCGATCCACCGAGTGATGGGACATCGGTATGTAGGGTCGTAGTCTCCGAGGATCTTTGCCCGCCGACTGAGTTTAGCTTAGCGGTGTGTCGGGCTTGATCCGCTACGGTCCACCGATTGTGCGCATCAACTGTGTGTAGGGTCGTAAGTCCCCCCTTGTAAAGGGGATCACGGTCCACCGACTGGGCGCGTCAGCAGTGTGTCGGATCGTGGTCCGACGTTGGGTTCGTCAGCGGTTCTCAAAGGGTTGGTTGCGATCAACTCCCCTCGTACCGCGGTACTGAGGTAGGGTGCTGCGGAGCCGTGTTAATGCTATAAGCATTAACCCTCATGTTCGGGGCATGCGATTGGTCCCGTGGCGCCATCAATGATTATGTGATATGAATGATACTTGAATGATGATGTGTTTGAATTGAATCTGTGACCTTAGATGCTTATTCCTTATGATGTTATCTCTACTTCACTGTTTATCATTGATTAATGTGCTTGTCCCTATTTGCTAAGTCTATCCTTGATTTTAAAGCTAGAGTCTCCTAAGTATATATCTTCCTGCTTCAAAATGGTTTTCCTATATCTATATCTATATATATACCTATATTGGATTTCAACGCGTTGGAGTGGGTTACCAGCATCTCTCGCTGAATAGATATATTTGGCTTTCAAGCACAGATGAGTAGATCCTAAAGCGCGCTAGAGATCCGAGGCGTAGAGTAGCTAGTTTCCCTTTTGGCCTGCGTGTCATGCTTATGTATTGACATTATTTGAGGATTTTAGTTAGCTAGCCTATGCACCTGAGTTCTCTAGCTCAGGTGTGGCATAGCACCCCATACTCTTATATTTGTTTTCGGGATTTAATGAGGATTTACCTTTATTATATAAGTTTTAAAAGTTTCAAAATTTTGGGGTTTTACACTGAGGCCCTTAGTACTGCCTCGAGGGGTTGGTTGGTGAGGACCCGCACGGGGTGTGGTTGGAAGTAATGCCCGAGCTTCTTGGCCGTGGCGTCCACGACGAAGATCGCTTTCTCCGTGGGTGAATACCTGAGCTCGGAGTCTCGGAGGGCTCTGCTCACATAGTACACCGGGCGTTGGGTCCCCGCGTCATCCCGGACCAGTACGGAGCTGATCGCGGCTTGCGAGATGCCCAAGTACAGATACAAAACCTCCCCTTTCTCCGGTTTGGCCAGGGGGGTAGCGTCATGAGGTACGTCTTAAGGTCCTCGAAGGTTCTCTGGCATTCGTCTGACCACTCGAACCCCTGGTTCTTCTTGAGGACCCCAAAAAACGGCAAGGACCTCTCGGCCGACCTTGAAAGGAATCGGCCGAGGGCCGCCAGCCGACCATTGAGGCGCTGGACGTCGCGGAGGGGCCTCGGAGGTTCCATCTCCAGGATGGCCTTGACTTTCTCGGGTTTGGGTTCGATACCCCTCTTTGGTGGTACCCCCGGAAGGCGTCTAGGAAGCTCATGAGTGCGCATCCCGCTGTTTCGTCCACCAGCTGGTCTATGTTGGGTAGTGGAAAGGGGTCCATGGGTCATGCCTTGTTGAGGTCCATGTAGTCCACACACATCCTCCACGTGGGCGGTTTGGGTGCGAGGACTACGTTCGCAAGCCATGCCGGGTATGTGACCTCCCTGATGTGTCCGATTTCGAGGAGGGTGTCGACCTCCTTCTTCACAAACTCTCGTCTATCTGCGGCGAGGTAGCGCTTCCTTTGTTGGACAGGCTTGGCGTTGGGGTCTACCGCCAGTTTGTGCGTGATGACCTCCCGGCTGAGGCCCGGCATGTCTTCGGGACCCTAGGCGAACACGTCTCTGTAGCTGCGGATGAACTCGACAATCCGAACTCGGAGGTCGGCCGGGAGGCCTGTGCCTACCTTCACTATTCTATCAGGTCGGCTGAGGTCCAGGATGACCTCTTCCGTCTCCACCATGGGTTCGGCGCGGGGCCACTTCTCCTCTTCTCGAAGTGCCCTCTCAGTTACTATGTGTACCTGGAGGTCCTTCCTCGTTATTTGGCGGCAGGCCTTTAAGTAGCAGCTTCGGTTAATCATCTGGTTTCCTCGCGCGACGCCCACTCCAATGGGGGTAGGGAATTTTAGGCACAGGTGCTCCATGGAGATGACGCACCTGAGGTCCTCCAAGGCAGGTCTGCCGAGGATGATGTTGTGGGCACAGATGATCTTTACCACCACGAAATCTACCTCCCACGTCTTGACGTGCGGTGGGGTGCCGATCTGCACCTCAAGGGTGACGGATCCCTCTGTCTCAATGGAGTCTCCGGTGAAGCCAGATAGCGGGGTCCGTACCTGGGAGAGCTGCTTCCTGGATAGCCCAAGTTGCGTGAAGGTGTCATAATACATGACGTTCACGGAGCTCCCCGTATCTACCAGCACCCGGTGGACAATGATGTCTTTAAGTTCCAAGCTGATTACCAATGCGTCCCGGTGGGGTATGGGGCCATCCGGGAGGTCGTCGTCGGTGAACGTTATGGGCTCCCTGCGTGTCCTCTTCTCATGGGGTGCTCGGACGACCTCCCCTATGTACAGGCTCCGCGCCCACTTCTTCCTCTCGGCGGGTGTGTCTCCTCCCTCCGGGCTGCCAAAGATGACATGGATGACCTTCTTCTTTGGTGGGCTGTCTGGCTCGGCCTCCTCGTCCTCCGTGAGTTGGCCAAGCTCTCTCTTGCGCGGAGCAGAGGTAGAGGGCCCAGCGCCATCCTTCTTCTTTCGGGTGTTGTCGGGGCCTTTAGCGTGGTCCTGCCGGGACCTCTTCATGTACTGCCCCAGGTATCCTCGTTGAATGAGCCCCTCAATATGCATCTTGAGGACCATACATTCGTCGGTGTCATGCCCACGTTGCGGATGGAAGCGACAGTACTTCTTCGGGTCGGCCTTGGGGGGAATCTTTAAGCACTCCTCGGGGAACGACACGATGCCCATGTCCTCTGCGTGGTCCAGGATGACGCTTACAGGTTGTGTCAACGGGGTCAGGTGTCGCAGCGGGGCTAGTCGGGGACCCCGGTCACGGCGTGACCGGGGAGGGCGGCGGTCCTCTTGAGGTTGAGGTGCCCTGTCGCTTCGTCCGCGGCCTTTGTAACACCCCAGAATTTTAGAACATTTAAAACTTATATAATAAAGGTAATCCTTATAAAATCCCGGAAACATAGTATAAGAGTATGGGGTGCTATGCCACACCTGGGCTAGAGAACCCAAGTGCACAGGCAAACTAACTAGGATCCTCAATAATGTCATTACATAAATATGGCACGCAGGCCGAAAGGGAAACTATCTACTCTACGCTTCCCGTCTCTAGCGCGCTCCGGTGTCTACTCATCTGTGCCTAAAAGCCAAATATATCTGTTCAGCGAGAGATGCTGGTAACCCACTCTAACGCGTTGAAATGCAATATGTATAGATATAGATATAGGAAAACCATTTTGAAGCAGGAAGATATACTTAGGAGACTCTAGCCTTTAAAACTGGGAATATACTTGACAAGTAGAGGTAAGCATGTTAACAGTAATAGATAGTTAAGTAGAGATATCATCATAGAAATGCACATCAAAGGTCACAGTTCCCTTTCCGATTTCATCATATCATCATTCAATCATCATTCATAGCACATACTCAATGATGGCGCCACGGGACCAATCGCATGCCTCGAACATGAGGGTTAATGCGTATAGCATTAACACGGCCCCGCAGCACCCTACCTCAATACCGCGGTATGAGGGGAGTTGATCGCAACCAACCCTTTTAGAACCGTTGACGAACTCAACGTCGGATCACGATCCTACACACCGCTGACGCACCCAGTCGGTGGACCGCGATCCCCTTTACAAGGGGGGACATACGACCCTACACACCGTCGATGCGCACAGTCGGTGGACCATAGCGGATCTAAGCCCGGCTTACCCCTGAGCTGTACTCAGTAGGTGGGCGAAGATCCTCGGAGACTATGGCCCTACACACCGCTGTCCCATCGTTCGGTGGATCGCAGCCAGCCGTAGCCCTACACACCGCCTGATTACTCAAGATTCGTCAAGAATCATTATATCAAAATCAAGAACTTCTTTTCAACATCAAGATCATCAATAAGGCATATAAATCATCTTATCAATCAACAAGATCATAACACAACTATCATAGAAGAATTCATCAAGACACGAGAATATAGAGGGAGGCCTAAGAGGGAGATTATAGCTGAGAAAATAGGTTTTGTTGAGACATGGGTTACCTCTTAGCCTTAATTAATTTCCTTGGCTATGAAGGGTCTTTCTTTAAGCTTTCTTCTTTCTTGATTTCTCCGAAAGGGGATTCTTGGAACTCCTTGTATGGTGAGAGATTATTGTGGTGTAAGATCTAGGTGCCTCCTATGACCCTATATTTATATATATTCCTAAGAGTCCCAATTGGGGTCTAAACACTATGGGCTTGCTAATTCTATTCCTTATAGAACTAAGGGGTTGGTTATAGGGATGTGGTCTCATGGACTATGGTGGGCCTTTCTTAGTTGATTAATGGGTTTTTAATTCTTCTTTTAGGGCAAGTGATTAAATACTTTGTTAGGGCTAGGGGTCGTAACACGGGGTGTTACAGCCTTTCTCCTCCTCCTTCTTCCTCTTCTCTGCTTCCTCCGCATTGGCGTACCGCGAGGCGCGGTCCATCAATTCTGTGTACGTCTTCGGCTCATTCCAGACAAGGTCGCTGTGGAAAGGACCCGACCTGAGGTTGTTGGTGAAAAACGGGATGGCGGACCTTTCGTCAAATTTCGTCAAACCATAGCTTCCTTCTTCCACTTGCTCAGGTACTCCGCCAAAGATTCCGACTTATCTTGCTTCAGGTAACATAGGTCGACGAACTGCTTCCGCCGTTGTATGCTGCCCGAGAAGTGCGACATGAACTTCTTGGTCAGGACCGTAAAAGTGGGGATGGAGTCCCCTAGCAAGGACCCGAACCAATCCTGGGCCTGCCCATCCAGAGTCGTGCAAAAGCCGCGACACATGATGGCGTCATTAACGCCTGTCATCATCATGACTGCCTTGTACCTATTGAGGTGGTCCCGCGGGTCCGTCGCCCCCGTGTAGGGCTTGATGGTCGGGAATCGGAAGTCCCGAGGTAGGGGCTCGGCCATGATGGCCCCCGTGAAGGGTGTGACCAGGGCGTCCCGGGGCTCCGGTGACTCGTCGCGCGCCTCCATCTTGCTCCGGTGACTCGTCGCGCGCCTCCATCTTGCTCTGCAACTCGCCGGTCTCGCGCCGGCGCACGCGGGGCCCAACCGCCCGAGCGCGGAGGTGGTCCGCGCCGGCCGAGTCCGCCTTTCCTCTCGCTGCTCGTGTCGGCCTCGGGTGGCCTCCGCCCCGTCGCGCCTCTCAGAAGGTCGTGGTGAATTGACTTCCCCCTCAGCCAGTGCTGCGGGTTCCCCGGGTGCGTGAGTGCAGGGGCCACTGCGCACCCTCGGAGGGGGCGGAGGTGGGGGTGCTGGGTCACCCCGGCGCAGCCCTGCCGCGACGCGGTTGAGCGCGTTCGACGCCTGTTCCAGTATGGCGGCATCTTCCTGGGAGGTCGGGACCTGCGGTGGCACTGTTCCGCCAAGAGGGCGATTGTTGGTGAGACGACCTCGGAGGTCCTCCACGGCTCCCTGCCGACTCCCGTTGATCTAATCTCGGAGGTCCCTTCCGGCCACCATGGGCATGGTCTGCCAACTTGTCGTGGTCCCGTTGGGATGGTTGGCGAGTGAGAGGTTGCGCGTGTTACGTGAATCCTGCGAGTTGGTGTTCCACCCGGATCATGTCATCGCTGCGGATGAAGGACAATAGGGAGAGCGCTTAAGCTTGTACAACCGCTCTCAACAAGAGCACCAATGATGGATTATATGAACCCGGGGGTCCGGATTATACAACCCGAATATATGTTGAACGTAATGAACGAATAATAAAACGGTAAATATTGTATTAATTAGACACAAAGTGATATTACAGAGGTACGGAACATGTAATAACAGTACAAATGTTGTCAGAAAGTATGAGATGCCTAATTAGGACACCGGGGGTTGTTTATATACCCCCCGGCTGCTACGGGCCCTGGGCCAGCGGGAGGAGCCGCGGGACTCGCTCCACGCGAGGACCCGACCCTTGGCCGAGCACGGAGCTCACCCAAGGGGCCGAGCGTGAGCTCGACCGAGCCCATGGGGGCTGAGGCCGAGCCCACGTGGCCGAGCCCGGGGAGGTCGGCCCACGCCGACCCCCATTGGGCCGACTCGGGGTGGTCCGCCTTGTACCGCGGGTAGGCGCGGGGTCCGACCTGGTCTGAACTATCTTGCTCCGCTCCGGCTCCGTGATTATTCCATCAACTTCGTTATAGGAGTATATGTTTCATAATTTCATCACTATATGTTCGTAATTGTAAGTTCATAATGTCAGAGCTCTGTGTTCATAATTCCATAACTGTACATTCATACTTCCATAACTCTACATTCATAATTCCGTAACTGTACATTCATAATTCAATAACTGTAAATTCATTATTTTCGAATCTCTTCTATGTTCACAATTTTAGAGCTCTATTTTCATAATTTTATCACTATATGTTCATAAGTAAGTTCATAATGTCAGAGCTCTGTGTTCATAATTCCATAACTGTACATTCATAATTCCATAACTGTACATTCATAATTCTATAACTGTACATTCATAATTCCCTAACTGTACATTCATAATTCCATAACTGTACATTCATAATTTTCGAAGCTCTATGTTCACAATTTTAGAGTTCTATATTCATAATTTTATCACTATATATTCATAATTGTAAGTTCATAATGTCAGAGCTCTATGTTCATAATTTCATAATTTACATTCATAATTCCATAACTGTACATTCATAATGCCACAAACAAATAACGCCATTAACGGCTAGACAAAATCAATTTTTTTTTTTTTAAACTGAAATGTCACATTTTCCCTGAAAACGACGTCGTTTTGGACTCGTGTCCAAAATGCATTGTAGACACGAGTCCACAACATAATTTGCGATAATAATCATTCAGACCCATTATTCTATAAAATCAGGGTCTGAGCCCAAGGCCCAGTGAAGACCTGGCAAGACTATATTTGGGCTCAAGTACTACAAAACCAACAAAAATAATGAAATAGTTAAAACTTTTCCTGTCATATTTGATATTTCATGTGCCAAATTTGATTAAGCATATAATTTATTTTTTTATTTTAATTAATTTAAAAGTAAAATAGAATTTATATATTTTAAAACTAATAAAATATTGAAGGAAATAAATAAGCAAGAGAAAGTATTTAGGTTTTCAAATAATAATAAATATGACTGTGAAACTTTAAAATTAACAAGTCAAGTACTCCTCAGAGATGGCAGGAAAGAATAGAAAATTCAGGAAGAGGGGGGTGGGTGGCCGGACAGGGAGTTTGTGAATTTCCAGAATGTAAACCACTGAATTGTTGTGAATCAGAGAGTTGTCATACTCACCATTCAAAGGGATCTGTATATACACCCTAAAATGGCCTTGCAAGAAACCCTTCTCTTGCCTGTCCCACAAGGTGTTTTCATTAATTAGGATTTATTTTATGTCCTCACTTCTGTAATGTCTGCCCTCAATATATATATAAGATTAATATTTAGTGGTTTAAATGGTCTGACCTTTGTCCACAGATTCTTTAGAGATTAATGTAATCTTTGTAAGAAGTCTAAGGTACAGATATATGATGCAAACAAGTCATGCAGAGCTAAGTTGAGCCGAGCTTAAATATAGACAAGTCTAAGTTTGAGTTCAAAATAATTATAGTGCAGTGATTTGAGTTCGAGCTTAGGTTTGATTTAGTTTAATATTTTAGGTTTGAGTTCAAATTTATAGTTATATATTAATGGGCCATGGCAAAAATAATCAATTGAATTAGATTTTTTTTTTTCTT